AGTGAAGATATTCAAGAATATGAAAATACTTTACAAAATATTGCAATGCTTGAATCATCAAAAGAGCAAAATCGTTCTAGAAATAGAAATCAGAAAAGAAACACCTGCTTCAATAGTAACAACAAGTTGCTTGCAATCACTTTTAAAGTCAGTGGGCAACCATAGAGTGTTTTTGTCTAAAGCACCCAAGTCACTTATTATTAAAAAAAACAGAGTATTTTTTGATGTGCACACCAAAACCTCCTCAAAAATAAATAGTAGAATTAAAGTTGAAAAAGAACTTCTTTTAAACAATAATGTCTACAAGTTAAGCAGCTTAATTTCACATTTAGGGTCATCTTTCGATGCAGGACATTACATAGCATATGTAAAGGATTCAAATGGTCCAAAATGGCATTTAATAAATGATGAGATTTGCAAAGAAATTACAGATGCCATATTGTCATCAGAAGATGTAGAATGCTAGCGCTATTTGTTATTTTACACTGCATGTAAACATCTAACATTTCCTAAACCAATGCAGAAGTATTTTATCACTATAATTTATGATCCATGTTTAAAAATGTTGGTGGTTAATTACGTTTCAACCATCTTCTCTATAAATAGAACATTTCTAGTTCTGTTACCTGTGTCTCCAAGAATTTTGTAACAAGACTACTTTTCTCATGACCATAAAATAGAAAATACCAATCCAATATCCTTGATTTAGTAAAGATTTCAACAGATTGACATGAACTATTTTTAAAGCTGTCTTAGCTGAGTAATTAATTTCCATAAACATAATTTATTCAAAATACAATCTTGTGATATAAGGATGATTGAACTTTTTAGTTTATTGATAAAACTACTTTTTCTTAAAACCCCTTAATTGTAGAAATTATGATTTCATGAAACAATCAACAGCTAGCAATACAAAAGAGACTGCATAAAAAACAGAACTTAATTTTTACACAAATAACTTTTTTTTGTTATTTTATTGCATGATATCATAAACAATGTGGAAGAATAATGTTCTATATGGGAACAGACAGGGAACAAACATTCCGTATTAACTGTATACATGGATGTATAATGTTATTGTATATGCATACATTTTTTTAATACATACACAAGCACATTTATTTCAATGAAGATGCATGGTCAAGCTCAGTGTAAAATGAATTATCATGAATGATATAATTCCATACCCATCACAGAGCTTTGTAATAAGTATAATTAATGCTATCTGATATTCTTTCTTATGTTTTCAAAATCTATGGTAACATTTTATTTAATTTATTTAGAGTTTTAAAAAGAATAAATTAGACGAATACTTTATTAATTAAACTATTCACAAAAAAAAGTGAATAATTTACTTTACACATACAACTGATAAAAACTGATATGATCTATTTTAAATTCCTACAGTTACAACATTAGAGTTCAAGCTGTTGAATAAAAAAAAAACAATAGCACTTAACCAGACACACAAAAATTAATACACACAAATTAATTTTATGCTGTTTTGAAAGGTTGTAATAGTTATAAATTGTCCTTTATTGTTTCATAATCCTAAAGCCGTTAATGGAAAGAGAGAAAAAAAAAGGTAAATGTTGGGCATAGAACAAAAGGCACAAATCTAACAAGGGAACTCTCAATTCTGACAACTACAAAAGACAATCTAAACTAATTTTGATTGGACTTTTAAGCTTAATTAATTTGAGCTAATTATTTGATTAGGACTATGGTGGTTCTAATAAAACAGTGTTATGAACAATATTAAGGGGCATTCATTAATAACATGATGATAATTATTTTTAGAAACATGTTGCAGGGTAAAAAAAAATGTTAATGATTGAAACAGGCATTACACTCTGTTTTATTATATGAATCCTTTTTTTTATTGTTTTATAAACAAATTCTCATCATTTTATCAAAATATTTTAATTTTCATTTTTTGGATCTCATAACAAAACCATTTTTTTTTCTACATTTGATAGAAAGACATTATAATTATAGCAGTAGTAAATCATTTGAGGTGAGAAATACGATCAGTTCTGGCAACTGATGGTATTATTTCAAACAAGGGAGGCAACCTAACATTTGAAAAAATAGTCTAACAAGGAAACAAATTGTACCTAGCACAATGACCAGAGGCAGATCTGTATTGCACAACAGCTGTACAGAATTAACAGATGATATACAAGTAACGTCAAACATCAATTCACACAGTTAACTAAAATAGGACCTTTCTAGTACTTGCTATAAAAATTGACCGTACCAAAAGTGTTACATTTTAACAAGAGGAAAAATAACAAAAGAGGAATGTGTTATCTACAGAAAAATAAGGCTTAAAGCTAATGAAGTTGTTCTCAGTTGATACGAAATAACAAAGCATTTTGAGATTTACACTTTCACACACACACACACAAAGTCATCACTCAGAAACAAATAGTTTTCCCTTTTTCTTTTGCTTACACATATACAATTTTTATACTTGCATTGTTAGGATCTGTAGATGTCAAGAGGTATTGATTACAATTAAACAACAAAAATGAATATTTTTTGTTTTATCCTAATTTAAAAGAAAAACCACATGTACAGCCTCTAAAATTTGAACATTTGTTTCAAAAGTGCAATTTTAATCAATTTCAATTACCTTTAATTAATTAAAAAAACAACATCTCTTAATGTTTATTAACTTTGAATTAATTGAAATCAACCTCTTGATTTTACCTGCTATACTGTTATATTAATTAAATTATGTGTAATTAGGTTGATAACTATTACTATTAAACAAACATTTAAAAGCAAAACAAGCAAAAATATTACCATGTAGGCCTATGTACATTAAACACAATTTTCCAGCAAAACTAATTCTAAAATGACTAGTTTAACTGTAGACAATCAAGGGAAAGGAGAGTTGGCATATACTGGACTAAATGGGAAGCTACTCTGTTTAATCTCTAATTTAAACCAATGCAAAAACATCACACACAGAATCAATACAGTTAATTTTAAAAGGCTTCTAAATGCAGTGTAAAGTCAGCAGGAAATCACCATTCATCTAATTTTTTTTTTAAAGGCCTTGTTGTTTGATTGTTTTAAAATGAATTTGACTTAGTAATATTTTTTTTAGTTTTAATTTCCTAAACCAATGCAGATGTATTTATCACCATAATTTATGGTCCCTTTTAATGAACTATTGTTTTTAATTTACATTCTCTATTGTACATTAGGTAATAGTATTAGTTGTGGATTAAAAACACTTAGAATCTAGTTCAAAACTTTAAAATGCATAGTTTTAACAAATTATAGTGATATATTTAATGGATAAATATGACGGTGGCTGGCAAAATTTGAACATGAAGCAATCAAAACTAAACTTGTGTTTTTCATAATTTTAGAGTTGGTGATTAAGTTTCAGCTGTGTAATCTATAAATAGAACAGTGCTAGTTATGCTACCTGTGTCTCCAGTAATTTTATAACTCGTTCTGATGTTAATTACATAACTGATTAAGCAAAACTAAATAAATGATGCAATTGAGTTGAATGGTTGTTTTTTTTTAAAATATCAAAATAATTTAACTTAGTAAACTGTAATTAAAAATTTCAATCCTTAACGAACTTGTTTTATTCAGCACAAACTAGAAATATCTGTTGAGTTGTCATTTAAATGAAATAGATCTTAGGTTGTAATTGTGCAACTTTCTACAAACACAGACACAAAACATTTTCATTCAGCCCGGTCCTGTTTCTGATTTGCACAATATAAAAATTCCATGTGGTACTTCTCAATCTGCCAAACCCACACACTCATTTGCAGTGAAGATACAATGAAGGCTTCATCCAACCTTTGACCTAGACCAAACTTAATCAGTCAAATTGTCAGTACTGACAGTATCATCAGCTACTGGAAGGTGTGGGTATGGCCAAACAATAAGAACCATATAAAAAATGAAAGATATTTTTTAAACATGTACAATTAGCAGCTCAACTGGACATCAGCTTAAGTAGGCAGACCCAAGCGTCATTAGTATGAACTGGGTTGGTAGACCCAAGCGTCATTAGTATGAACTGGGTTGGCAGACCCAAGCGTCATTAGTATGAACTGGGTTGGCAGACCCAAGCGTCATTAGTATGAACTGGGTTGGTAGACCCAAGCGTCATTAGTATGAACTGGGTTGGCAGACCCAAGCGTCATTAGTATGAACTGGGTTGGCAGACCCAAGCGTCATGAATATGAACTGGGTTGGCAGACCCAAGCGTCATGAATATGAACTTGGTTGGCAGACACAAGCGTCATGACTTTGAACTGGGTTGGTAAGCCCAAAATAGTTGAAAATTGTACCAAGAAAAAAAATGGATACTATAACTGTAAACTTCATTATTTCCAAAACAAAATGACAAAACTACTTTTCTAATAGCTAGCTGATTTATAGCAAGCACTAACTCAACACAAAAGTTATGTCTATAATGATGTTAATACTTTTTTTTGTACAAATCCATTCCATAGCAACACTAACAATAATTAAGCATGTGATTTTAGTTAGTTTTACTAACAGCCATCATCTATATTCACACCTTTATTAAATCTACTATTGTTAAAAAAAAAAAAATTAAAAATTTCTGGATTAAAATAATTCTGGACAAAGTGCTAGCACCATTTAGAGGCTCCCCTGTTTCTGAAAGTAATAAGTCCGGTTTGGCTTTAAAAAAAGCAAAGTATGGCAGCATTTTTGTAAAATGAATTCACAACCAAAAGTTATAGTTATAGATAAATTCTATAAATTCTTTACCTTTCTAAATTACCAAGTGATGGCCTAACAAAACAAAAGAGAATTTATAGTTATATATAAAAAAATAAATGAAATCTAAAAACTTTGGTGTGATACTACTTTTTAACAAAAAAATCTACTGCTATATTTTAAAACAAATAGTATTTAGATCTAAGTTCTGAATGCCATTTTAATTTAACTTTAAAAAGATGAAATTTCAACACAAAAAAATTCGTAAACAAATTTCTATGAGCACAAAATATTTGTACAATTTTAATTTGCATCACAACAACAACTGTATCATGTGACCTTCACCTGTGCACATGGGGTGATGACACACATGACCTTCAACCTGTGCACATGGGGTGGCACACAACAAACTAGGACACAATAGAACACTGAATAAATGCATGTCATTAATACCAACACAGCCTTACATTCAAAGTAAATGCTTTCTTTTTTTTATGTTAAATTAAGCACCCACACGCACTGGACAATTATTCATAGAATGGGATTAATCCAGATCACAGATCAATGGATTAATTAATATAATCATTTGAATTCAATTCTCCATATCATCCATTCAAACAACTCATTCTTCTATGTACATATATAATATATATATAATTTATTATGATCTTAAAACATAAAGTATAAATTAAATAGAAATGAAAAAAAAAAACTATTTTGACCAGACCATAGGTTCACATGTTTAAGTATTCTAGTCACAGTAGAAACAGACCTGTGTATCCCTTCAAAAATTAACATAAGCAGTGATAAAGTGTATACATAAACAGTCCCCCTGCCTTATTGCCTCACCAGGTTATGAGCAACAAGGGGGGAGAGAAAAAACAAACCATAATCCTTTTTTGTTTTGCGCGTGTGTTGGTTACAAAAAAAAAATCTCAAACGGTGTAAAATTTCTGCTAGCTGGAGAAAGGCCTGAGGTGCTCTAGCTGTATCTCCAGGGCTATACGTTGCTCCATCACCTCCTGGAGCTCCTGGTTCAGCTCGCTGTTCAGTCTGGTCAGCATTGTGTTGCGCTCCTTGTGGGTGCGGATGGCCATGTGGATATCTCGGGGGTCACGACTTCCTTGCCTTGAGCTGCATTGGATTTTGAGAATTAGTTCTAATACAAACATAGACACAAGAATTCACAACAATACAATTCTAATACAAACATGGACACAAGAAATCACAACAATACAATTCTAATACAAACATGGACACAAGAATTCACAACAATACAATTCTAATACAAACATGGACACAAGAATTCTAACAGACACATAAAAACACAAAAATTATAATAGACACGCAGACACAAAAAGTATAATAGACACATAGGCAAGAAAATTCTATTCGACACACCGACTCAAAAATGCCAATACACCAGGACCTCTTTAACTATTACTTTAAAAAATTATTTTTACATTTTAATTCTCAAGACCATAAAAGTGTAGAAAATAGCAGTCCAATATCCTCCAATTAACAGATTGACATAACTATTTTTAAGCCTCCTCTCTTGAGTATTTAATTTACATAACAAATATTTGATTAAAAAAACAAGTTTGTGATATTAGCTTGATTAAACCATTTAGTTTATTAATAAAAATTACTTTTTTTTAAAACCCCCAAGTTGTAGACCCTTAAATTGCATGAAGCCATCATTGTGTAATTATTACATGACCCATTAGCCTGTAACTATTGCATGAAGCCATCAACCTGTAACTATTGCAAAAAGCCATCAGCCTGTAACTATACTCTACCTGAGAGTCAACACTGGCTTAGGCTGGAGTCTTTCTTTCATTGAATCTGGTGTAGTATCCTCATCCTCTGGTTTATCCTATTTCATCAAAGTTTAAAAAAAAAATTATTTTGACAAACTTTTTTTTGGTATTGTTAATATTTTTTTTTGCAGCAACAATTTATCCTTTCTTTTTTTCATTTGGATAAAAAATGTGTGTTTATTTAAAATTTATTAACAAAACAAAGTGGTGCCAAAATTATTGCTCTATTACTATTTTACATTTAAAATGTCAATCCATCAAGTAACCTCAAACTAATGTATGCAACTCAAAAGAATTACTAAAATAGACCACTTTCAACACACAACTTAAATATTTAAAAGACCATTAGTTAACAAATATTAGTTAAAGCTACTTGCCCTGAGTGCACTAAACTAACTTACCTTATCAGCTATAACTGGCTCTACGTTTTCTGAAAAATAAAAAAAATTGACTATAGTTACAGCAGCATGACAACAAAGTACTTAGTCTTATGTTAACCTTGTGGTAATGTGACCATGACTTTGTATAGAATGATGATGTCATTGTAACCATGACTGTGTATACAACCATGATGTCTTGTAATGATGACTAGACTGGATGGCCTAATGTACTTATAATTATAACCTTTGTATTATGTTAGTTTTGGGCTAATGAGCAATAGCATGAACTGGCAATGACCTTACATTACCAGTTGTAATGAAGTTATGACTACATTAAAACTTACCTGGAGGCAGCTCTGGTGGTGCTGAAGCAAAGCCCTGAAACAATTGAGAGGATAGTAAAACAATGGGAATAGAAAACAAAACTTCAAAGGGGAATTTTTTCTTTAAATAATTGAATGTTCAAAATAAAGAGTCAGACAGATCTTAAAAACAAGGGGAAAAAATGTAGACAAACAAGTTACCTCTATCAAACTCAGTTTCAGTTTAAATAAAATTAGCTAAATCACAGTGTACACATTATTTAAAAAAAAATAAAATGTTTTAACATGTTTCTGACTTTTAACAAATGAAGAAAGTGTTTACTTCTAAAGTGTTAAGCTTTTAAAGAATGAATAACAAAAAAGTACAAAATCATTTGGTTGAGAATCTTTATAAAACAATATTTAAAGTAGATTTTTCTAAAAAAAAAAAAATGTGAGGCACCAAAGAGAATCTAAAATTTGAACTTTAACCCTTGAATAGAGTTTTTAAACCACATAAACAGATAGGTGTGCCTGAGTTGTGAAGATAGCGTAGAAAATGATAATATAATATACTGAATACAACATTTTTGTTACTCTTTAAATATGTGAGGTTAATCGATGATAACTGACATTGTTAAATCTAAACAGGTGTATCAAATGTTATGACACTTGTATTAGTTTACAACAGGCTATTTAAAGATTCATTGATGTTGGTTTTAGATGGCCATGTTGAGAAGGGAATAATGGCCATTCAGCAAATAATAAAGTAGTGGAGTATGTGCATACAACATAGTAGTACTAATAGTAGTATATTTTAAGTTTCTGGAGAACTATGCCAAGTGATACATGTGTTTTGTAGCTTTGCAGGAAAGTTGTTACAAATCAGTAAACAAAGAAGTTTATTCAAACTTCAAACAAACACATCAATTTACATTAAACTATAAAAAAAAAATAACCAAAATGAAATACCCAAAATGAAAAAAAGTCAAAGTTGAAATGCAATTGCTGTGTTTGTTTGTGCTTTCTATTTCTTTTATTTGCCTACAATACCATTTTAGCATATTATCTAGTGGTTTTTGTTAAAATTAAGAGCTAGTCCATATGAGCTGGTATAGATTCAGCATACAAATTTAAATGTATCAAACTAATCTAAAAGCATTATAATCTTTTCTCACTATACACAATACAACAAGCTTTTGTTTCTATACTGAGATTTAATTTTTTTCTTTCATTCTTTTTAATCTTTGGTTAATTTAAATTAAACCACTGTTTTAAATAACTTAATTTTAAAAAAAAAACAATTAAAAAAAGCTGTAGAATAGAAACTGGATCTATGCATCAAATGATAAAAGCCCCAAGACCTTCAGAGGTAAAGTGAGTGAAGATACTCATGGCATTGTGTTCTTAAAGTAACAACCCTGTCAACCATATCTAATATAGAGCGTTAAATAGCCTCTGGTTTTATAGTCTCACCAACTTCACGCCTAATGATACACTACGCCGATGTGTCTGAGCTACGGAGCGCAAAATACTTTTAGGTGCTGTTTTAGGCTGAAAGAGAATAATGCTGTCAAAGTTCATGATCACACTCTAGCAAATGGTAGAATTATAATCTGTGCCATAGCTTTAATTGACACAGCCGCAGTACTTACTATGATTTATTTACATTTTTTTAAAATGATCTTAAATAAATGAACATAAAAGAAACAAAATTAAATTGTGTACAACATTCTACTCCTCTAGAAACAATATAACTACCTTTGTAGGTTTAATATTTAAATATTGTAGCATCCATTACATTTTTAAAATTGTATAAAATGAGGAATTAGGAAAATGCTAATGAGTCCAAAATAGAAATGTTTTGAAAGGAAAATAATGCTTAAGATTTTAGGCTCTACAAAATAGTTTTCAAAACATTAGTCAGTTAATTGTGTATTTACTAATGGAAATCAATTCACAAGGTAAACTTTCCTTGAAATTGATATAAAATAATTAGATAAGAATATGTGGTGCTGATTCTTAGACAACAATCACTTTATGTTTGTGGGCTGAAAAAATATGTTACCTCAAAATTTCCATGCCCTGCTATATCTCCTGCTTTTTGGTTTATTAAATTAACCTAAGAAGATGAATTTTATTCATGTAAATACTAGTCTTTTCAGTTACCTCTAATTATAAAAAAAACTCTTATAATGTAGTTGCAATGAGCTTTATATTTTAAGTAGACAATATTTTAATAAGTAGCATTAGAATAAAAAAAAGTTAAACTACAACTTGAGATAATTACTTACTTGATTTACTTCCTTAGGTGAGACTCTGGGTGGGATAGCAGGAGCAATTAGCTGTGGTGCTAGAATAGGGATAATTAATTAGTTAGCTCAATCAACACTTACAGATTTTAACTATTGATAAAAATCACTAGAATGGTGTGCACTTAAAAAAAACAGTAGGTTTTACATATTCATTTTGTTTGATCTAGGTTGATGTTGTTTGAAAGCATATAAAAGAAATACCAAAATACCATGAATCAGAACAGTGTGTCTCAAATATTTGTTTACAGATGTACCATCAATTGTTTGTTATATCTTTATTTTTTTTAAATTTAATTTTTTTTTTCATATCACAATATTACAGCAGTTCCACTTTAATGACGACAAAAAATCTTGTATCACTTACTTGACTTAACATCTACAGACATACTCCTTCCATGGGGCGGTCTTGGAGGTGGGGTGGGGGGCCCATGGCTTTGACCCCCAGTAATATCATTTGGTCTTTCATTGTGTACGACGCCAGACGCCGCAGCGCCCTCTGGTACAGGCGGGGGCTGCAGCTGACCAATCATCACGGCTGGCACTGGGGTCACAAACAGGGGAGCAGCCGTTACCATATGGACATAGCACAGCACACATCATTCTAATCACAGCCTGAGTTCTTTACATTTGTTTTCACACTAAACTTAAATTAGTAGCTAAATTATCCACACCACAACACACTTGATTGATCTTAGTTGTACAAAGTAAAAAGATAATATTTAAAAATAAAACTTTGCTTGTGTATAAAAACAGAATAGCTGATCATATTTTAGTTTTTTTTTTATTCAACAGGCTAATGTTTTTTTTTAAAAGTGAAAATTCAAGAAAATTAAGTTAAATCCTTATGAAACTATATTTTGTGTGTGTTATAATCTAAACCTATAGTTCATGCAAAGGTTTGAAGACAAATCAACTCCAAAAGACACAGAGTTTTTACAACATTAATATTAAAACACACACAAAAAATATTTGATTTAAAGTGATTAAGAAATGCAACATTTAGAAATACAAAAAACAACATCTGAAAGATTAAAATATCCTTTTTAAATAAGTTAAAAATATTGGTAGCTAAAGCATTAATAAAGCCAAATTATTTATAATAAGATTGAAATAATTATTTTGTTATGAGCTTTTTTTAAAAAGAAAATTGTAATGATTGATAAAAAAAGGTTAATAATAAATACCTTTCTTAAAAAAATTAGAAGAACTAATGCCCCAACTTTGTTAATTTTAAAAAAGCAATAAACACAAAGCACAACTAACAGGTAGAAAAAAAACATTAAATGTTTTTTCGATTTTTGGAAATTATAACCACAGATCAAATTCTCATTTTTATATGCCATATTTTTTAAAACATAAGTGAAAAATGAAAACTTCCACCCTTCCCTTGAAAGTTAATTAACATAATTACCATCGTTATGATTTTGTATACCTGCCACAACACTGTTCTTTTTAGGTGGGACAGGACGAGGCCGTCCATGTATTGGTGTGCTATATTTAGAGTTGGGGGTCTCCAAGTGACTGGAGTCACTGTGGGATTCTGTGTATGCTCTCTGCTTGGTGAGAGGGGGAGTGGTGTCCCCTGGGTCTGTCCCACCAGATGCATGCATCACTGCAGGGTCTGTGAACACATGTACACGTACACAACACCAAACATACAAGCACACACTTAGACTAGTCATGAAAGTGAAAGCTAAATTGTGAACATTCTAAAATGGGATCTTTGTTATTTCAAAGTGATGTTTTTAGTTTCACTGATTTTATTTTAAGTAATGATTTTAGAATAAGGTATATAACAAAGAGGCAAAAATAGATTAGATTTAATTTACTTTATAAATAAAAAGAACACTGATATTAGCGTTTTTTAAATATCTGTTTTTAACCTGAGATTTCAACTGAATAAAAATTTAACGTTTTTAATAATAAAAGGAAAAAAAAATTCTTATTTCAAAAAAATGTAAAGGTGGATGAGTATCTGATAGTTCAATGACAGACAAATCCTATCGTCTGTGAGGAGAAAGTAAGAACGTTTTAATCTATGCTATAAATTGGATATTGATCCCTTTCTGAAATGCTCAATATCAAACCAGTGAATGAATGGCAAACCGTAAAGACAGGTGATAAAACAGAAAAAAATTGGACTAGAGATACAATTGTGGTGAACCCTTGGACATAACCAGGTGATCACAGAAGTCAAGTATCACAGGAGTAGGGTCAAACCCTACAACTATTCTTGGAGAAATTATTGAATTTTGTTTTTGTGATGAGAAATTGCTTGCTATGTTACTTCCTTATCCTAGTCAACTCTCGCAGCTAATAGTGCTAGAAACGTCAAATAGATTTCAATTTTTATTAAAACTTTTTGTATTAATTAGACTTTTTGAGTCATACAAGTTCCTTGTGAGAATTAAGCTGTGAGAAGCTCTGATGAACAGTGCTTTTAAAAGAAAAACTTCTCATTGTGCATAAGATGCTTTTACTTTCAAAGTGTGTAACCAAATAAATGTTACAAATCATTGCCTGACAAGTGCAATGCAATTTGTTTTTAATCAAACAGTTCTGTTAAAAGTAAAGTAATGGTTTACATTTTAACAACCAATAATTTATTACATTTTCAAGTGTTAGATTGATATATTATAATTTTCAAGTCTTTAGATCCTTTATTGAGAAAGCTATGTGGTAAAATGTAGAATAATAAGTGTTATAAAAGTTTAGCATAAGCCACTATTTCTGAGCAGGATTAAGCTGTAATATATGAAAGCAGTGTATATATATTTATATTTTGAAGCATTGTTTTAAATTTTATACATAAAACAATTTGATATAAAATATATTCTAAAATATAGCTGGACAGCTGTAAAGAGGTATACTTTTAAACAAATAGGGTAAAATGAACTTCAATATTGTTGAAAATGAAAATGTAAGTAGGGACGGACCACCTAGTCTTATTCCTCAGATTAAAACATGAAGGAAGGAACCCATTTCTTCCTGACAAGTCAAAATTATTCACCCCATAGTAAACAGAACAGCTATGTAACTATAAGAATGGCTGGTGTTAACAATGCAAGATTCTTTTAGAACAATTATGTAGAATAAATAATTTGTATATAGAAACTGTTGTTTTGTTTTTCTAAGGAAAAATAAATAACGAGCAGAGATATTTAAAAATCTTTCACCATAATTATTTCATGCTGCTATTGATTCATTAATCTCAATTTTTTCACAATTCCTCAAGAATTTATGGTCATTTTTTATCTTTAAACAATTCAGGACAAGGAACTTCAGTTTTAAAGTTATAAATGTTATATAAAGGTAAAAAATATATCATCTGCTTCTTATAATTGAAACATCATTTGTCATTCAAACTTCTATCTGAATATAATAATCCACTATCACTAACAGACTCGCTGATATGTATCACAGTGGATGAGTGGATTAATACTTTGGAGTTTTTGCTGACATAAGGTTATGTGGGTAATAGTAAATGTGGAGTAAGTATCACAGTGCATTGATCACAGCATGCCAAACTTTTTCTGCTTTATTTACACATGTAAGACTCCATTGATATATGGAATAAATATGTGAAGTTAAACACTGACTTGTTACAACTTTGCAACACACACAGACAACTGATTTACATCAGCCATGCAAAGCTTCATGCAAAAGAGATTAGATAGGTGTAGAAAGATATTCATTTTTATTAGTTGTTCAATTTTTTAAATCTTAAATTTAAATTTTTGAAATTCTACATTACCATTAATAAAAAATAGAGGACTATTTTTTCTCTCTTAATTTTAAAAATATAGAAGTGACAATTCACAGTGGTAAAATATAAATTATATATTTTTTTAAAAGATGCAATCTAGTACAACTGGTGTACTGTGCTTATACTAGCAGAGGTGAAAATACAACTCATTAAATCACTACATTTAGGAACCAATAGCAATAAATAAGAGTGCTTTTACATAGAACATCATCATTTGTAGAATGAACTGATGTTAAGATTGAGCTGTCACTGTTACAGATTCCAAGAGAACAGTGAAGAGGAATTATTCCATAGAAAGGGGGTAGGGACCAGTATAATGAGTAGGAGGTTAATACAATTAGAGTTGGCACAAGCAACCAGCACCAGCAACTACCTGAAAATGCCCTACCACGATCAAAACCCTCACTCTGGATGGGTAGTCCTTCAGGTAAGATATGTACAGGTACGGGCTGGACAATTTTTAGTTCCTGTAAAAGTCAAACATTACATATTTTAGCACACAAAAAAATAGAACTTAACAGTACAATTATAAAGCATATATATATATATATATATATATATATATATATATATATATATATATATATATATATATATATATATATATACACCAGTATATACATACAAACATATTTCAGAAGCACTAGTACACACCATGGGCCTGCACTAAGGAACACAAGCAAGTACTCACTGCACCAGCACTAAGGGACATGAGTACAAACTGGATCAGCACTAAGGGACACAAGCAAGTACTCACTGCACCAGCACTAAGGGACACAAGCAAGTACTCACTGGATCAGCACTAAGGGACACAAGCAAGTACTCACTGGATCAGCACTAAGGGACACAAGCAAGTACTCACTGGATCAGCACTAAGGGACACAAGCAAGTACTCACTGGATCAGCACTAAGGGACACAAGCAAGTACTCACTGGATCAGCACTAAGGGACACAAGCATGTACTCACTGGATCAGCATTAAGGGACACAAGCAAGTACTCACTGGATCAGCACTAAGGGACACAAGCAAGTACTCACTGGATCAGCACTAAGGGACACAAGCAAGTACTCACTGGATCAGCACTAAGGGACACAAGCATGTACTCACTGGATCAGCATTAAGGGACACAAGCAAGTACTCACTGGATCAGCACTAAGGGACACAAGCAAGTACTCACTGGATCAGCACTAAGGGACACAAGCAAGTACTCACTGGATCAGCACTAAGGGACACAAGCATGTACTCACTGGATCAGCACTAAGGGACACAAGCATGTACTCACTGGATCAGCATTAAGGGACACAAGCAAGTACTCACTGGATCAGCACTAAGGGACATAAGCAAGTACTCACTGGATCAGCACTGGGCTTGGCAAATTCAAAGTTAACAAGGTGAGCAGGGGATGGAACTCCATTTGAATCTGGAGAATCTCTAACAAATGCTGTCCACTGAGAAGAACATGTATCACATGAGTTATACAAAAGTTGCTACATTATTTATATCAAAGATGTATTGCAAGATTTAAACAAAAGTACATTATTTATTACAAAGATATATTTCATGACTGGTGTCGTCATGGTCTAGTTGGTAAAGCTCATGGATGCTAAACTGAAAAATCTTGGGAACTTCAAACTCCCAGGCAGATGAGGCCTAATAACTAAGGACAGGAGAGAAAACTCCAAAATCAAACAGCTGCTGCCTTGTAGTTTGTTCTTGGTTGGACAAAGGCTATGGAAGCAAATCCAGAAAGAAAAGCAGGCTGAAATCGGAGTCAACTGCCTATATGGCGCATAACAGAGGGTGACACATAATACTTGTGTTGGGAGAAATCCAGTCATACATTACAATAAAGAATAAAGAAGAATTTCATGAGGTAGGTATACCAAAGTTAATTACAGAGTATGCAAAAGATGAAATACATTATTTATACAAAAGTTGTATTTTTTTTACAAAATCTGTATCACATCATCTTAATACTAGTTGAATTACATTATTATTTTTATCGTGAGGATGTTAATGTGCAAAAACCAACAATTTTTATTTGGTGAGCACTAACCTGAGCCATGTTTGCCTGTGGAGATTGTGGTGTTGCTCGCTTTAATGTACTTCCTGGTGGTAGGTCAGCAGCAAATGGCTCATCTGAACAAAACAAATGTTTTTTTTTTTTTAGAATTGACACAGCTGTTCCTGGAATTTGGTAACACACCACTGATTTGATTAGAGCTTACCATTTATTGGTCACTTCAAATAAGGTAAACATATGTTTATAGCATTAAACATAGCTGTTCCTGCAGTTTTATTACACATAATCTACGTTTGAGTCCAACTTTTAATTGGTCAGTTAAAATAAAAGCAAAAAAAAAAAAACCAATTTAAAAAAAATAAAATAATCAACACAGCCTTTCCTGCAAATTTATAGAATACGTGACTCAAACAAAATTTTACTTTGACCCCACTTACAACTAATTTAATTTTCAAGTGATTTTTGATGACAAGTGAGCTGGCTTTTAATTAAAACATTGAACATTTTCCAAATAAAAAAAAAACAACACAAAGGTCAACATACCGCTGGCAAGGGTTGAGTATGGCATAAGGGAAATGGGCAAGTGGTCTGGTAGCTCGATATCATTGCGCCTCAGCACTACCAGATGCATGGCAATACAAAACTCTTCAAGGGACAGTGCTCCATCACAGTTGAGATCTGACAGTTGCCTACCAGTTGTAAAACAGATATAAACATTTTTAACCTGAATTTGATATGTATAAATTATAATGAAATGAACATTTTTGAAGTTTACTCTCTTTAATGCACACAGATCCACACACAAAACACAGCATAAATAAAAACTTTACCATATTTTAGATAACTCCATAACAGGAAGTTTTGACTTTTCAAAGAAATGTTTAGCCACAGGACCTGAAAGATAACAACAATAATGATTTTTTATTAAAAACATTTTGAAACTTTTTCAAATATAAAATGGTAAAAATCAGATTAAAGTAAAATAAAAGCAAGCACTTTCAAGGTGGTGCCTCAAGAATCCCAACAGAAATTATTCCAATGTTTAGAGAATGTCTGCTGAAGTCACAAGTTCAGTTACTGGACTGGAGTCAGTAGTGACTTCTCTGAGGCCACCTAGTTCTAAAAGGTAAAAGTAAAGTTCCCTTTTTGAACTTGACGGTCCAAGGGGCAAGAGAAATTGAGTTTGATTGTTTCTGTGACCTCAACATATAAAGTGACAGCGTACTCAGTGCTATGCCTAGTCGCCTTTATTTCCCCTGGGTGGGCTCAAGAACATGCTACTGACTTGAACCCGGATACAAACTCAAGACTTTCAGGATAGCAGTCTAGTGCTATACCGCTAGACTAAGCCGTCCCATACTCTAAGGGGTATCTAACCCTAAGATGTCACAAAAGCAGGTGAACTACTTCATCTGCCCTATTGAGCATCAGGCCCTAAAAAATAAACAACAGTACCTGTGATGACAAACTCGAGACTTTCAGGTTAGCAGTCTAGTGCTCTACCGCTAGACTAAGCCGTCCCATACTCAAAGGGGTATCTAACCCTAAGATGTCACAAAAGCAGGTGAACTACTTCATCTGCCTTATTGAGCATCAGGTCTTAAAAAATAAACAACAGTACCTGTGATGACAGCACTAAGGTCTGGCTGCATGGTTTTGAACTGGTTGACGTAATACTCTCTTTGTTCATCAGTGATGGTCCAGACATCATCCACACTGTCAGCTTCAGAGGAAATGGATGAGGAGTCAAAGTTGGGGGGCTCCAAGCTGTTGTAGTGTTGTTTCACACCTGAGCCTATCAGCACTGGGATCAAACAGATCAAGGTTAGTTGTACATTGAGTTCTGTACTGGCTACGCAGGTAATCAGTTTAAAATAAACAGGCAAGCAAAACCTAATATCTAACTAAGACAACGTCTGAGATGTAAGCTAAAAGTAACATAAAACCTTCTGTGCATATAGGGATCTTATTTTAACTAAAAATATACCTGTAAATATAAAAGTGTACTTTAGTTGATATAGTAGAGTAATATAACTTATCAATGGTACTCCCTTAGATGTATACATTTTTAGTATGCTCACTTTAACTTATTTAAACAAAGTTAGATTGAATATAAAATACTTTTTTGATAAGTGTAATTTAAATAAAACATGTATTTAGGGTTAAAAAAAGATTGTCAATAATTAAATTTTAAATCCTACACATTAAATTTATTAGTAAAATTGACCTTAGAAATTCAAAGATCCTATATCTTACTAATCTTTGCAACATAGTTATCCCAGTTACATGAGTACTAAAATTACAATTATAAAGGGACTGACATTAACTTGGAAATGTTAAAAGAAAAGAAAACGATATTGATTTAAAAATGTTGAAATCAATTAAAAAAGACTTTCCTAAGTAAACAAAGTGAGGTCTCATGAGAAAAATAAAAGCTTACTATGGCTCTCATCATCTTCAAACATTGTCCAGTTGCCGTTCTCCAATCCCTGAGCATGCTGCTGCTGCTGTGTGTGAGACTGCTGGACCTGGCTCGAGGCTCCGTGACCGACGGCCCCACTGGCAGCTCCCGGAGCCCTCGCTGCAGGCAGGGGCTCGGTGAGGGCCACGGGGTTGACGTGGCCACCATCAATGGTCATTGAGTTGGGGTTGACCAGGTGGTGGGAGGCCTCCAGGCTGTCCAGGCTGCTGGTCATGATGGGCTGTGTCTGGGGGGTTGAGCTGGTTAAGTTTGTGGCCGAGTTGGCAAAGACCATAGCCGGGGCGGTGTGCTGCTTCACCAGCGGCTTCTGGTTGGCTGGTGAGGTTGGTGGTGACTGTGTTGGGGAGAATGGAGGTGACTTGGAGTTTTGAGGTGAATCATCTCGTATGTTGGTCTGAAAACAGAAGGTGCATGTGTTATAACAGACGGATAACTAAACAGTAGATGCAGCATTGAGTTTCTGACAATGAAGTACATTATAAAAAAATTATTTTATGACTATGCTGGCTGTAATATCTATAATATAAGGGTATGGTTTACACTGAGGACTGAAGCAAACTATTGAATGTGTTGAGCTAATCAGTAGATTTACCAGCATAAACAGGAACAAAAGAACTAATCCTTCTGTATTAATGTACTCGATTTGCAGATATATAATGACAACAAATGAAACACAAAGACACAGATAGATAAGTTAAAATAGTCCACCAACAAAAAGGTTAGATTAACATATCTGACAGTTTGGTCTATTTCCTATGTTGCACCATCAAAGTGTGCATCAGCCAGACTAGTGAGAACTGGGTTAGACATACAGAAGTGTACAACAACTGGCAACTGAGAGTAGCCCACTTGACTTGTACAAAAAACTTGAATTTTTTTCAAGTGTTTATCATACTAATTACAACAATTGTGGTGTAATGCAACAGCAACATTTCCCTTTAACTCTCCTGAATAACAGCATTATGAAGCAAATTTACCTTTTACCATAAACCTATGTCTAAACTGATTTTTATATTAATTCCTAGTATCAATGACATAAATATTACAATACATTTCTAACAAAATAAATTGAAAAAAAAAAATAAAACTAAAAAAAAATGTAGAGAGTGAGTAAAATGGGTAAAGAGACGTGAACCAACCTGAGAAGAAAACTGGCTGGACTGGCTGCTAACCACTGACGGGGCATCTGGCACAATGCCCCGGTACTGGCCAGATAATGATCGGCTGTGTGATTTTTTAGAGCCTGGAGGCGGCGGGAGTTGTCCAGACAGCTGGGAGTTCAATTTACTGTGGAGAGGTGACAAACACAGGTAAGAGAGATCAACATTTGCTGGGGATGAGCGGCTGGGTGAGGCCAGGTATCACACAGGCCCATGCACCAGATGCTGTGCAGCTGTATTGATTTCTACATAGCAAGATGGTGACTGTTTCATACACAGGCCAAACAAAACAGAAATATTCATAGAATCAATAGCAGTACTCAATGGGTTTAATCACCCCCATTGGCAATCAATCATGGGTTGGTTTGACACAGTTTTGATAAAAAATAGTGTAGAACAGGGTAGAAAAAAAAATTTAAGTAATTTTTACAAAGTAAAACAAAAGTTATTTTCATTTCATTATTCAACTATGTGAGCATTCTTAAGAATTAAATTTTTTATGAAAAAAGTAAGTTAATTTAGGTAGTGATATTAGACTTTGTCTAGGTCCAGGTAATAATTTTAAGGAAGAAATAAATAGATCCAGGTAATTATTTTAAGGAGGAAATTAAGTTAAGATGAAAATAACAGAACTAACATTACCTTTGATAACAATTAAAATATTTTGTTTTCACTATTTAAAAAATAAGGTCTAACTACATTTAAAAAGAGACACACGGCAGTTCAAAATCTTGTTAAAGTAACAAGTTCTAAATACATTTAAATAAAGACACACAGCAGTTCAAAGTCTTGTAAAAGACACACATCAGTTCAAAATCTTGTTGAAGTAACAAGTTCTAAATACATTTAAATAAAGACACACATCAGTTCAAAGTCTTGTAAAAGACACACATCAGTTCAAAATCTTGTTGAAGTAACAAGTTCTAAATACATTTAAATAAAGACACATATCAGTTCAAAGTCTTGTTGAAGTAACAAATTCTAACTACATTTAAAAAAAGAGACACAGCAGTTTAAAATCTTGATGAAGTAACAAGTTATGTTAACTGGAAGGTCAAGAGACCCCCTTAGCGACACAAGTACCATAAGTTGTTGCAACACATGGCTAAGATTGCTGCTACTTAGCTGCTTCTGTATTGCTAGATTGGACAGCTGATAGAAATCAAACTTCACTTAGCTGCTTCTGTATGGCTAGACTGAACAGCAGATAGAAATCAAACTTCACTTAGCTGCTTCTGTATGGCTAGATTGAACAGCTGATAGAAATCAAACTTCACTTAGCTGCTTCTGTATGGCTAGACTGAACAGCTGATAGAAATCAAACTTCACTTAGCTGCTTCTGTATGGCCAGACTGAACAGCTGATAGAAATCAAACTTCACTTAGTTGCTTCTGTATGGCTAGATTGAACAGCTGATAGAAATCAAACTTCACTTAGCTGCTTCTGTATGGCTAGATTGAACAGCTGATAGAAATCAAACTTCACTTAGCTGCTTCTGTATGGCTAGACTGAACAGCTGATAGAAATCAAACTTCACTTAGCTGCTTCTGTATGGCTAGATTGAACAGCTGATAGAAATCAAACTTCACTTAGCTGATTCTGTATTGCTAGATTGAACAGCTGATAGAAATCAAACTTCACTTAGCTGCTTCTGTATGGCTAGATTGAACAGCTGATAGAAATCAAACTTCACTTAGCTGCTTCTGTATGGCTAGATTGAACAGCTGATAGAAATCAAACTTCACTTAGCTGCTTCTGTATGGCCAGACTGAACAGCTGATAGAAATCAAACTTCACTTAGCTGCTTCTGTATGGCTAGATTGAACAGTTGATAGAAATCAAACTTCACTTAGCTGCTTCTGTATGGCCAGACTGAACAGCTGATAGAAATCAAACTTCACTTAGCTGCTTCTGTATGGCTAGATTGAACAACTGATAGAAATCAAACTTCCCACTTGAGCAGGTCAACAGGCTTAAAAAAAAAAACACAAGGCACACAACTTGCCTAACTATAGCCTCATATTCATAGTATATATGAAAACATCGAGCACTATAGTACAGACAGACAGTAATCACCACAAATTTAACCAGGCAAGTCAATAGCTTTATCAAATTGGTAGTAAATGCTTGATTACACCAATATTATATTAAAGCACCTTATATTTCCAAGGTACAAAAACAGGGATGCTAAATATATATTAACAGCAACATCAAACACCAACCATATATTAAGTAGAGGTAGAAACAACTTGTCACTAGCTTATATCACCCTCTTAAATAAAACTTGATGTGACTTTATAATATGCTTGCATACTGCCCAAATAGATATTAAAAAAAAAACAACCTTGCATGCTCATGAACAACCTTTACAATTCAAGTATCATAAATTGTATGAAAATCAACTGTACACAATGATAACCTCTGTACATTAATTATCTGATATCATAAATCAATTCTGGTGTAAATCCTGTGAGGAGCCACCTCATGTCACCTGACATGAGGTAAACAGCACAATCTCATCTAGTAGGTAGACCAAGTTTAACTAACTCAGTCATGTGGAAACAACCTTCACATTGGTACTGAGATACAGTGTCATGATAGCCCCACATAGGGTGTAAATACTTGCTGGTTAATTAAGAGATAAACAGTGAAACTACTAGTATAAATTGTACATTCCTCATGACTACAATGGCGATTTATTTAAGGAAATGTTTCAGAGTTAATATTTTATGGTGTATAAGCATTTGAACAAACAACATTTTTCTTGACTTGAGAATAAACGAAGGCTAGCCATTACAGAACCCCAACAGCAAATATGTCATAAAGTCTTTAATCAAAGACAAAAGCTATTTTAATCATGATCTATGTTTAAGCCTGGAATTGAAATAATCTCTGCAAACATGTCAACAACTCAACAAAACTACATCTAAAATGACTAGTTAGCAGAATCCTACAATGTTTCCACTGGTTAAAACAAAATATCCCTAATATATTCCACTTCATTAAATAATGATATCTGCAGAGCCCATGAATACATTACTGCACTAATTAACACACACTACAATACATTACAAATGACTAACGTTAGTAGCATTCATTTTCTCACAAGTTAAAAAGCAAACAAACAAAAAAAAAAAAAAACAACCATACATTTTACTTAATTGAAATTGTTATCAAGTACATTTCTCCCATTAATGTATGACCATTAAACAAAACAAATGTTCAGCTGGAAAAAATCTGACAAAAATTTCAATTGACTAAAGGATTTCTGTAGCAAGTACAGCTGTCACATACATGTAACTAAACTCAGTCCCACACAAATGTAACCCACCTCTCTAACCCCACACAAATGAAACTCCCCTATCTGGCCCCACACAAACATATCCAACCTCTCAGTCCCACACACAAATGTAACCCACCTCTCTCACCCCACACACAAATGTAACCCACCTCTCTCTCACCCCACACACAAATGTAACCCACCTCTCTGGCCCCACAAACATATCCAACCTCTCAGTCCCACACACATGTAACACACCTTTCTTACCCCCACACAAATGTAACACACCTTTCTTACCCCCACACAAATGTAACCCACCTCTCAGTCCCACACACTAATGTAACCCACCTCTCTCACCCCACACACATGTAACTCACTTCTCTCACCCCACACACAAATGTAACCCACCTCTCTCACCTCACACAAACATATCCCACCTCTCAGTCCCACACACAAATGTAACCCACCTCTCAGTCCCACACACATGTAACCCACCTCTCAGTCCCACACACATGTAACCCACCTCTCAGTCCCACACACATGTAACCCACCTCTCTCTCACCCCACACACAAATGTAACCCACCTCTCTCACCCTACACAAACATATCCCACCCCTCAGTCCCACACACATGTAACCCACCTTTCTCTTACCCCACACAAACATATCCCACCTCTCAGTCCCACCCATGTAACCCACCTCTCAGTCCCACACATGTAACCCACCTCTCTCATCCCACACACATGTAACCCACCTCTCTGGCCCCACACAAACATATCCCACCTCTCAGCCCCACACATGTAACCCACCTCTCAGTCCCACACACATGTAACCCACCTCTCTCACCCCACACACATGTAACCCACCTCTCAGTCCCACACACATGTAACCCACCTCTCAGTCCCACAAACACATGTAACCCACCTCTCAGTCCCACACATGTAACCCACCTCTTTCACCCCACACAAATGTAACTCACCTCTCTCTCACCCCACACACAAATGTAACTCACCTCCCAGTCCCACACACAAATGTAACTCACCTCTCTCTCACCCCACACACAAATGTAACTCACCTCTCTGGCCCCACACACAAATGTAACTCACCTCTCTCTCACCCCACACACAAATGTAACTCACCTCTCTGGCCCCACACACAAATGTAACTCACCTCTCTCTCACCCCACACAAATGTAACACACCTCTCAGTCCCACACACAAATGTAACACACCTCTCTGGCCCCACACACAAATGTAACACACCTCTCAGTCCCACACACAAATGTAACACACCTCTCTGGCCCCACACACAAATGTAACTCACCTCTCTCTCACCCCACACAAATGTAACACACCTCTCAGTCCCACACACAAATGTAACTCACCTCTCTCTCACCCCACACAAATGTAAAACACCTCTCTGGCCCCCCACACAAATGTAACTCACCTCTCTCTCACCTAACACAAATGTAACACACCTCTCACTACTCTCAGTCCCACACACAAATGTAACTCACCTCTCTCTCACCCCACACAAATGTAACACACCTCTCTCTCACCCCACACAAATGTAACACCTCTCAGTCCCACACACAAATGTAACACACCTCTCAGTCCCACACACAAATGTAACACACCTCTCAGTCCCACACACAAATGTAACACACCTCTCAGTCCCACACACAAATGTAACACACCTCTCAGTCCCACACACAAATGTAACACACCTCTCAGTCCCACACACAAATGTAACTCCCCTATCTGGCCCCACACAAACATATCCAACCTCTCAGTCCCACACACAAATGTAACCCACCTCTCTCACCCCACACACAAATGTAACCCACCTCTCTCTCACCCCACACACAAATGTAACCCACCTCTCTGGCCTCACACAAACATATCCAACCTCTCAGTCCCACACACATGTAACACACCTTTCTTACCCCCACACAAATGTAACACACCTTTCTTACCCCCACACAAATGTAACCCACCTCTCAGTCCCACACACTAATGTAACCCACCTCTCTCACCCCACACACATGTAACTCACTTCTCTCACCCCACACACAAATGTAACCCACCTCTCTCACCTCACACAAACATATCCCACCTCTCAGTCCCACACACAAATGTAACGCACCTCTCAGTCCCACACACATGTAACCCACCTCTCAGTCCCACACACATGTAACCCACCTCTCAGTCCCACACACATGTAACCCACCTCTCTCTCACCCCACACACAAATGTAACCCACCTCTCTCACCCTACACAAACATATCCCACCCCTCAGTCCCACACACATGTAACCCACCTTTCTCTTACCCCACACAAACATATCCCACCTCTCAGTCCCACCCATGTAACCCACCTCTCAGTCCCACACATGTAACCCACCTCTCTCATCCCACACACATGTAACCCACCTCTCTGGCCCCACACAAACATATCCCACCTCTCAGCCCCACACATGTAACCCACCTCTCAGTCCCACACACATGTAACCCACCTCTCTCACCCCACACACATGTAACCCACCTCTCAGTCCCACACACATGTAACCCACCTCTCAGTCCCACAAACACATGTAACCCACCTCTCAGTCCCACACATGTAACCCACCTCTTTCACCCCACACAAATGTAACTCACCTCTCTCTCACCCCACACACAAATGTAACTCACCTCCCAGTTCCACACACAAATGTAACTCACCTCTCTCTCACCCCACACACAAATGTAACTCACCTCTCTGGCCCCACACACAAATGTAACTCACCTCTCTCTCACCCCACACACAAATGTAACTCACCTCTCTGGCCCCACACACAAATGTAACTCACCTCTCTCTCACCCCACACAAATGTAACACACCTCTCAGTCCCACACACAAATGTAACACACCTCTCTGGCCCCACACACAAATGTAACACACCTCTCAGTCCCACACACAAATGTAACACACCTCTCTGGCCCCACACACAAATGTAACTCACCTCTCTCTCACCCCACACAAATGTAACACACCTCTCAGTCCCACACACAAATGTAACTCACCTCTCTCTCACCCCACACAAATGTAACACACCTCTCTGGCCCCACACACAAATGTAACTCACCTCTCTCTCACCTAACACAAATGTAACACACCTCTCAGTCCCACACACAAATGTAACACACCTCTCAGTCCCACACACAAATGTAACTCCCCTATCTGGCCCCACACAAACATATCCAACCTCTCAGTCCCACACACAAATGTAACCCACCTCTCTCACCCCACACACAAATGTAACCCACCTCTCTCTCACCCCACACACAAATGTAACCCACCTCTCTGGCCTCACACAAACATATCCAACCTCTCAGTCCCACACACATGTAACACACCTTTCTTACCCCCACACAAATGTAACACACCTTTCTTACCCCCACACAAATGTAACCCACCTCTCAGTCCCACACACTAATGTAACCCACCTCTCTCACCCCACACACATGTAACTCACTTCTCTCACCCCACACACAAATGTAACCCACCTCTCTCACCTCACACAAACATATCCCACCTCTCAGTCCCACACACAAATGTAACGCACCTCTCAGTCCCACACACATGTAACCCACCTCTCAGTCCCACACACATGTAACCCACCTCTCAGTCCCACACACATGTAACCCACCTCTCTCTCACCCCACACACAAATGTAACCCACCTCTCTCACCCTACACAAACATATCCCACCCCTCAGTCCCACACACATGTAACCCACCTTTCTCTTACCCCACACAAACATATCCCACCTCTCAGTCCCACCCATGTAACCCACCTCTCAGTCCCACACATGTAACCCACCTCTCTCATCCCACACACATGTAACCCACCTCTCTGGCCCCACACAAACATATCCCACCTCTCAGCCCCACACATGTAACCCACCTCTCAGTCCCACACACATGTAACCCACCTCTCTCACCCCACACACATGTAACCCACCTCTCAGTCCCACACACATGTAACCCACCTCTCAGTCCCACAAACACATGTAACCCACCTCTCAGTCCCACACATGTAACCCACCTCTTTCACCCCACACAAATGTAACTCACCTCTCTCTCACCCCACACACAAATGTAACTCACCTCCCAGTCCCACACACAAATGTAACTCACCTCTCTCTCACCCCACACACAAATGTAACTCACCTCTCTGGCCCCACACACAAATGTAACTCACCTCTCTCTCACCCCACACACAAATGTAACTCACCTCTCTGGCCCCACACACAAATGTAACTCACCTCTCTCTCACCCCACACAAATGTAACACACCTCTCAGTCCCACACACAAATGTAACACACCTCTCTGGCCCCACACACAAATGTAACACACCTCTCAGTCCCACACACAAATGTAACACACCTCTCTGGCCCCACACACAAATGTAACTCACCTCTCTCTCACCCCACACAAATGTAACACACCTCTCAGTCCCACACACAAATGTAACTCACCTCTCTCTCACCCCACACAAATGTAACACACCTCTCTGGCCCCACACACAAATGTAACTCACCTCTCTCTCACCTAACACAAATGTAACACACCTCTCACTACTCTCAGTCCCACACACAAATGTAACTCACCTCTCTCTCACCCCACACAAATGTAACACACCTCTCTCTCACCCCACACAAATGTAACACCTCTCAGTCCCACACACAAATGTAACACACCTCTCAGTCCCACACACACATGTAACACACCTCTCAGTCCCACACACAAATGTAACACACCTCTCAGTCCCACACACAAATGTAACACACCTCTCAGTCCCACACACAAATGTAACACACCTCTCAGTCCCACACACAAATGTAACTCACCTCTCTCTCACCCCACACAAATGTAACACACCTCTCAGTCCCACACACAAATGTAACACACCTCTCAGTCCCACACACAAATGTAACACACCTCTCAGTCCCACACACAAATGTAACACACCTCAGTCCCACACACAAATGTAACACACCTCTCAGTCCCACACACAAATGTAACACACCTCTCAGTCCCACACACAAATGTAACACACCTCTCAGTCCCACACACAAATGTAACTCACCTCTCTGGCCCCACACAAATGTAACTCACCTCTCTGACCCCACACAAATGTAACTCACCTCTCAGTCCCACACACAAATGTAACTAACCTCTCTCTCACCCCACACAAATGTAACACACCTCTCAGTCCCACACACAAATGTAACACCTCTCAGTCCCACACACAAATGTAACACACCTCTCAGTCCCACACACAAATGTAACTCACCTCTCTCTCACCCCACACACAAATGTAACTCACCTCTCTGGCCCCACACACATGTAACCCACCTCTCACCCCACACACATGTAACCCACCTCTCACCCCACACAAATGTAACTCACCTCTCTGGCCCCACACTGTCCGGCTCACCCGAAGACTTCTTCCTGTCAGACACCACTGGAATGACAAGAGCAGGACACGACAGTCAATACACGCCAGCTGTGACAAGGATCAGCTCTACACATCAGTCACGTGTGTCGTGGGGGGGGGGGGTGGAGGAGGGTCACTTAGCTGGCTCTACCACGTCTATCTCTGACCTTCCTAATTGGCAATCAACTGATTGGCTTGTTATTCTATTGCACTGAAGGCATCTCGCCAGACCCCCAGAGATACGGCCAGTGGAGTGGGTCAAGGTCGCACGGGGAGAGGCGTGAAATGACCACTTCAATTACGTCTCCTCGTTACCAGATAAGCCTGCACGCGAGTCAACACGTCTATGACGGTGTGAGCAGTGCTCGGCTTGACATAGTGTTGAGATGGGGAGGGGGGGGGTTGAAGGAGGTAAGGGGCGGGATGAACATAAATCGCCGGATGATTACTCACCATCACAATCAAGTAATGACATTTGTTTTTAAAATTATGGTATAATATTTTTTATCAAAGAAGTGTAAAAGGAAATTGGAAATAAACAAAAAGATTTTAGCTTTACATGAGGCAACTTTTTTTTCGCCCTGTAACTAAATATTAATCTCGATTTTTCCCATATAAGTCGGGATATTTTTAGCTCCCGCGTATCGATTCTGTTCTCTCCCAAGGGATGTTATTCAGTGACATTTTGTGTTCGAAGCGTTATCTTTCTTTACTATAGACCTAATCCTCCACAATGTGAGACAACCTTGTATCGCCGTCATCTGGAGTCATGCAGTGATAGCTTGTTTAAACCCAGATACACAACGCCATAAATAATTTAACAAGGGAAAAATATCTAAAGCTAAAACACAAGAACAGCGGGGTGTTCTTTAATTAATCTATAGTAAAAAAAAATCTATATCTGCTGGTGTTTTGTTTTTGTACAGCTATGTACGATCATTTGAGAATGTCGCCCGGTAAAAAAAAAAAACTATCCTCACACAGTAGCGTCACATTTCGGCGGCTGGAGATGGGGAATGTTACCGGTGACATTATCCATGGGAGATAATACTAGAGTAAAAACCTTGCACATTTTAACTATGAAAAAACACATCGCCACGTCAATTACATTGTATACATCGTTATGCCAGTGTAGTACCGTCCGGGCTGGGGCTAACGTCTGTCATGTAGGGTTTTTTGGTGTGGGTAAATCATCAATATATATTAACATTGTCGTCGGGGGTGCCATCCATAGTTAACGCGACGAGCGCCGCCCCACTTAGGGACGCCACGCCCTGGCCTATTCCACTACCCCCCCCCCCCCCTTCACACACACACACACGGAAACAGCTGCAATGTCAGTACTTGATCCATTACAGATTGCCTAAGTCAGCACTGCTAACTATCCATTGCCCGTGTCATCACTGCTAACTATCCATTACAGACTGCCTAAGTCAGCAATGCTAACTATCCATTGCAGACTGTCCGTGTCATCACTGCTAACTATCCATTACAGACTGCCTAAGTCAGCAATGCTAACTATCCATTGCAGACTGTCCGTGTCAGCACTGCTACCTATCCATTACAGACTGCCTAAGTCAGCAATGCTAACTATCCATTGCAGACTGTCCGTGTCATCACTGCTAACTATCCATTACAGACTGTCCGTGTCATCACTGCTAACTATCCATTACAGACTGCCTAAGTCATCACTGCTAACTATCCATTGCAGACTGCCTGATAGTTAGTTACTGAAATGCTTTTATAAGTGACCGAGTAGGACACAACATTTAGTACAGTTCACTTTTCAAACCTGACGGTCCATGGGGCAAGTGAAGTAGAGTTCAATTGTTTCTGTGACTTCGGCATATGAAGGTACAGGGTAGTCAGCGCTATGCCCAGCCGTCTTTACTTTCCCTAACATGAGTTAGGTACCCATCATAGCTGGGTGGGTTCAGCCGACTTGAACCCGGATTCGAACTCGAGACTGGTAGTCTAGAGCTCTACCGCTAGGCCACGCCGTCCTGACCAAAACAACGTAGTAACGTCAGGCAGCCCGGCACTAAAACACAGCCCACGGACATCAGACATCCGGCCAACTCGGTCCTGAGTTAGTTGCTCTAACTGTCCCAGATGGCAACCCTGATTTCCTGTGTCACTCTCTCCACAAGCACGGTCCTTAAATCAGTCTCCCGGTAGGAAAGGAATGTTTTATCTATTCCACTTATACGTGTCAAGTCATCCTTTCTAAAGCAGTAAGTCACGCGGCTTGCAAGCGATAAAACTTAGCGGTATACGAGTGTCGGAGACCCCTAAACAAGGCGAAACTACCGCCGAATGTATTTATAAAAAATAAAAAGACTATCAATTTCAAACAAATAATTATATATATATATATATCTTAAACTTTAAAACACAAGACAAAAAAAAAGATTACCTTGATCATTTCCTTTGGAAGAGAACTTGGGTAAAGGAACGTCTTTCCCTGTAAAAATAAAGATGCAGGGCTTTAAACCTGATGAAAATTAGCGAGGACTGAATACAGACACGAGCCCAACACTAGGTAGATGTGAGTCAATAGTTCTATATACAGACATAAACAGTACCAGAACGTACAAGTTCTATACAGAACCAAACATGCTACATCCCAATTCTAGAAAATCCATTAATCATGTTCTTTCTAATCTTTCTAATCGTGCTGTTTTTTTAAAATCATTATTTGTTTTAAATGAGTTTCATCTAACCAACATAATTATAATACGACCAGCACTAATGAATATACTATTTCAACCGAACATCTAAATAATCGAATTAATGAACCAGTGTGTTCCGACTATGGCCGCATATCGATATTTACTTCTAACCCACCTTGTCAACACGCCTGCTAAAAAACACAGGCAGTCAAATGGGACTCTAACAGCAAAATATGTGTGTGGGTTCAAAGTTGCAAGCAGAAAAACACGAGTACCGTATTGCATGCGGAAATATCAATCCAACAACAAGCTAGGATTGATTTCTACCCACGACTACAGAGAGAATCAATTTTTTGTCTACGTGAGACCAGGGGAACAAGGTAAATGTTAACAGAACGATTTACCACTCTGATGACAAGGCTCTTGTTTCAACAGTCACCGATCGAACAAGGGACGTCACCGATAGATACACGCGCAACACCACCAACAACGCTGACACAGTGGTATATTTTGAAAATAGTTATTTGGATGTATACACATGTGATTTGCTAGAGCTAGGCTAAACCTGATGTTTGAAATGTTTGAAATGAGGCTCCGCTATGAAACACTAACCCTGCTAGCATCCCATCAAACGCCAAGTCAGCTGTTTAGGCCGGATGCTTCAAACACATTCCAATCGATATGGAGTGCTCGGGTTCTCCATAGAAATCCAATAGCTGACGCACTCGTGACGTCATTGTTTACATCGCAACATTGGAAAGTTTTTTCTTTTCTTTTTTTTTTCTCGTCGACACACCTTAGTATTAGCTTACTTTTTTTCAGGGGGTAAGGAAAGTGTACTCAATAAATAAATGGTTCTTTGAGACATCTTCCGTTTTCCTTTTTTTTTGTAAGGGGGGGGGGGGGGGGGGGGAAACGACGACTTAAGTGCCGGGGGTGGACATTGGTTGGAGAACAGATTTTCTATATAAAATTCGATTTCGCTCAGATGGGGATGGGGGAATTAGTGGAAGAGATGCCTGAAAGAAACTCTGCATGCAGTCAAATGTACAACCAATGGCGTTGCTCAGGGGTGCGCGGAGTTGTCCTACCCGTGAGGCACTTTCCCGTCAACATAAGCGCCGCAATGGGCGAGCCCTCAGACCTGTAGCACCGCCATCCTGTTATACAGTAGCTGTTATAGCTAGTTATAAGTGACAAGGCTAGTTATGGACACCACCCTTATACACTGTCTAGTAGATTGCACGTTTTTGTTTTGACTAGCTCGATAATTGGCTGAGGCGTAAAGATAAAAAAAAAAACATTTGATTTCCGTGATAGCAAGGGCGGATATGACGTCATACGTTTCACACAACCACTGGCTGTCGAGACAACAGAAGACAGTGAACGCTGAAGTGAATTGTCAGGTTAGAACTAAACGTAACTAGCTAACAGCAATTTTATCGATTCGAGATCAATAATATTAAATGTTGTGATGCAGGCTTCTTTTACAGTGCGCTGGGGCTCGCCGGAAGGGGGGGGGGAGGATTTCAAAATACATGACACCCACCCCCTCAACGATTATAGGAAAAACACTTGACCTTCCCCCTTCAACACTAACAAGAAAACACATGACCCCTCCCCCTTAATCACTAACAAGAAAACAAAAACCATTAACACTTAGAGGGGAAAAAAACAATTGAAAACATGGTCTCCTCAACACTTACAGAAAACACATGACCCCCCCCCCCCCCCCACCATTCAAGATTTTCAAGAAAACACACGACACCCCTTCAAAACTAACCCGACAACGCACGACCCCCACCTCAACACCCACAAACACGTGAAATGAATGACCCCCTCAACATAATGAAAAACAGACGACCTTCCCCAAAATGTACATGAACAGTTTCCTTACAAGTTTAGCTTTAGCCTAACACAAATTCGAATATGGGGAGAGAATGTAGGAATGCTATGATTTGTTTTGTTTTTTTACGGTTCCAGGCTAGCTAGGCCTGACCAGAGTTGCTTGAAAAAGTAAATAGGCTTATTCTAAACTTGAGTTTTAAAAAAAATCAAGTCCGTTAATGAAACACGATCTCTCCTGGCACGTTAATTCCCTCCCCCCTCCCCCCCCCCCCCACCAGTTTCTTTTTTTTACACCTGGCCGGGTACAGCTGGTATGACGCAAAAAAAAAAAAAAACTTTTTCTTTGTCTTGTGTGTGCGATCTCAAGGACTTTGTTGATTTTTTAAACTAGTGAATTAAACACATTCGTTTGGTGATGGTCTCTACAATTATTCTTCTAAGTAAAAATGTATTTGCTATGAAAAACTACTAATCT